CTGAGCTTGGAGAGATCGATTTTCGACTTGATTGCCCCAGATTGGCAATTTTAAGGGAATGCCCCAGATTGATGGAATCTGCTAACTTTATCCCTGAAGGGTACTCAAGCTGTGAAGCACCAAGATGATTTCTCTTGACAGAGTCTCTGGTTTAACCTTCTGCTGGATAAGTGATTTCTCTTGTAGCAGCTGACTCTTGCTTCAACAGGGTATTCAAGCCTCTCTTTTCTGACAAGATTGAGCTCTTCACCGATTGTTCATTGTGCAAACTTACTTGATGTCGATCAGTTGTTTTGTATGCAAAAGAATGTTTATTATGAGAATGATAATTCTAATACAACACATATGTAAGTCTTGAAGTTTGAAAAAACTTTGAATGAAATAACGTCACGACTCTGTTGTGAACGAGTCACTAGCTAGAGAGAAACATTTGCAAAAAAATTTTTTTTTTGAAAGATAATGCAAGCATATGATGCCAAAACAGATAATGAGACGTACCTCTTAGGAGTCAGTTAAACGCTATCTCGTTGTGGCACGCTTTCGAATTAACCCATGCTTCAGTTAGGACTTTGAAAGGGTTGTAACGTGGCCTGGTTCACGGTTTTTAGAAAAAGGATTTAAGGCTCAAAATTATTTGGTGCCCACCCATTCTCCATGATGTTCTCCATTCCTACGTTCAGTTGACCCGATACAAGCATTCATCTCTCGAGAAGAGTTTGCAATAATTGAGGAACCACAGTGGTTTCTTGGACACGACAGTCACTAACTTCTTTGCCTTTGGTGTTTGATCACACGACTTTGTTCTTTGATGAGAATTTTCATTGGTAATCCTTTTCTCGCCTTTTAGGCTTTTCAATTTCTTCCTTGCTTTCCCTAATTTTTGCCTGGACAAATTCTTTTGAATTTTGATTTGGAAGTCCAGCGGGATGCCCCAATTTTTGCCTAAGCGACTTGTTTTCAAGCTTTGACTTAGCGGGGATTTTTGTTTCTTTCTTATTCATATTTTTTCGTTTTGCACAAGTCGTTGATCTTTGCGTTGTTTTTGATTTGTCGGAAGTGATCGTGACTGCCTGAGTCTTTAGTATCGTCATTTGTTGACCTCCTGATGTGCGAGAGATACCCATTGGGATATGGTCAGTAGACGCACATTGTTGTTAGATGAGGGTTAACCATTGTGGTTTTGACTTTCCTCAACCTTTTGATGGATAACCATTGTTGTATCCTTGGATGCACACTCTTGATGAGTTCTGAATGCTTGATCAGATTAGCTGAACACTACCCGCCCCAAGGTTAAAATGAGGGTTTTTTCTGAACAGAAAAGAAAACTCCTACTTCGAAGGCTTAAAGGGGTTGACGAGGGTCTATCTCCCTTATATCTCCGGTGTTTGGGGATTGAAACAAGGCCTGTACATCGTCAGCAGGGTCTTACTCAAAAGCGTACCAACCAGAGATTTTGCGTTTTCAGATTGTCGTCATCCTCCTTTGAATCTTTACCTAAGCATAAGACTAGGAAATCTGGCATCAATATGCAAGTAAAACATTTGAAGAGTGATAACGAATGGACGAGTAAAAATGAAATGAACACTTCAAGACAAGCATATTTATTGCATTAAGATTTTCATTCAAAAATAGACAAGTTTCTATATACAAGCGATGTTTAAACAAACAAGCAAGAATGCAAATGAAAATGCATTAAAGAAACCAATGATTGCCACTGTTGAGGAGACTTGACTCCGTATGGACTTGCTAATTCTGACGACTTTCTGTAGTCTTGACGCTCGAGTGTGCGAGAGAATTCCCCTTCAGATCTGATGTGAACACAGTAGTCTCTGAATTGATCCAGTCTTGGACTTGGTCTCTGGATGACATACCATCTTCAATCGATTGGCCAAGTGCCCCAGTATAGTATGCATCACCAAACACATCATGTCTTAAAGAAATAATAGACATCATTATCAGAGCTTCCATGAACTGGCTTATCTAACTCTTTAATCCATTATCTTCCCTCCTGAAGACGTTTCTGACTATGAGCCAAAGCTTGCATGTACCACTCAGAGTTATTCCATAGCTGGTCCCTGAACACGTGCGGTGAGAAACCAAATTGAGCCTTTGAAGAGAACCCCATGTCTGAATAATAACCCCCAATCTTTGGATACCTGTAATGAATGCATGAATATACATGAAGTGTATGAATGAATGCCATGTCATGTTTTGTCATTTCCAAGGAATTTGCGTGCTTTGATTTTGATTTTACGCAAGTAAGAGATGGAAGAGTTTAGCACAAGGCTTGCGAATTTGATTCCTTGGAAATAATAGAACATGTATGTTAGACATGTGGTTAGCCATGTCATGTATGCAAAGGCATGAGATCAAAGAGGATCAAGATTCCATCATTTCTGAATAAGGTTTCCGCACTGCTCTGGATCATGTGAGTATCATCAGATCAGAGGTCCGACATAACTTCTGCATATATAAGCACCAAGTACCCTGTGGATCTCCCATTGTCTGGGATCAAGGCTTATAGAACATCGGATACTGTTGAGAATTTCTGAACATGCTGGGAATACCAAGATTGAAGGCTTGAATGAACCTCCAGGTAAACAAGTCAGGATCTCAGAAAATAAATCTGAGAACCACACGGTCACCAACAGGATACAACATCTGCATAAAGTCTTAACAGAAATCCAGAATATAGCCATTAGAATCAGTAGTCATTGTCTGAGCGTAGTCACCATTTGTACCTGAATAACCATCTGAACACAGTCACCATCTGTACCTGTGACAAAAATTCCCTTCCCACTCACGGGTGAAAACTAGGTCAGGGTAAGATAATGGTAACTCGAAAATCACGGGTTCTCCTGAAAGTGCTATGGGCTTGCCCACAGACGCGGGTGCCGATAGTAATTCATTTGAACCTCATCCGAGCGTGGTATATGACATGACTGCACTAATCGGACCATGTCCTATAGCTGTCATGCCCCCACTCTATTCCTAGGTGTCCTAGTGCACTCTGGCCTGGGTAATGGGCCTTTTACCTCAAAAGTGACATCCCCACCCAACATGGGAAACAGAGTTCAGCATAATAGATGACAAATATGGAAAGCCATAAAATGCAATGCAAACATGTACAAACGAGTAAACTGAAAGCATAAAAATAGACACCCTAAGGAAAGAAAACAAGAGCTAGGAGCGACTCCGGGATGGACCAGCATTTGGTCGACCTGATTCCCCAGTGAAGTCGCCAGCTGAAACAACCGGCTGAAAATCATCAAACAATGAAGTCGCCATCGAACGTCTTTTATCCCACATGTAGGGAAAGGTAAACATCGAGAAAACCTGATGAAGGAGAGGTCACGGTCTTGCGACCGAGAGATCGGGTAAGGGAGTCTGTTACGCGAGGGGAAGGTATTAGCACCCCACACGCCCGTAGTACTCTACGGTATCCACTCTTGTTATCTATCTTATGGGTGTGTTTCGTCTATGCTTACTGTTTACTATACTACTGAAAGGAATGCATGCAAAAGAAAGGAGAAAAGAATGTAGGGAAAATAAAATTGTGCTCACTTGGGCCCTACCCCAATGCCTACGTATCCGTTTTGAGGAATCAGAGCTACCGTAGTTCGGCTCACATGTTTTGTTTGTTTGTGTTTTTTATGGACGAAGTTAATCCCGCCTTCTTCCGCAGCTCGACCTTTGGAGGCTTGTGCGTTGGCACAGAAGTAAATTAATCATGTCCTTACCTGAAAATGGTTTAAAAGAAATGTGCTCGAGCGCACAAAGGATTTGATTTGTTTTGTATTTTTGTTGTAGATGATGACTGATTGACCTCAAGGGAGAGATATTAGCCATTTTTCTACTTAGCTATGAAAGGAGTTTTTTGAGAATTGAACCACACCTATGCTTGAGATGAAGAACAATAAGATCGAGAAAAGACCCGCTTATCATTTCTCGTACTAAGCAAAAGCATGATTCTCATCAATAGTTTTAAAGTGTTTTAAATTTCGAAAAGAAAAAGAAGTTTTTTGTTTTAGGTGCGTATGCGAAAAGGAGAAAGAAAAGTCAGAAGGAGACTAGCTTACTTTTAAACCTAATGTTATTATGCGTTAGTAGCCATAAGATCTAGGTTAAAGGGGAAATTTCTACTTGATGTTAGTATGCATATGGATTCGCGATAAAGTGCGAAAATGAAGAATAAAATAGATTTGCGACGATACCGAACGGAGAAGGTCCGTTGCCTCTTCAAAATTGTGCAAGCGGTAAGAAAATTCTATCAAAGTTTCCTCGAACGAGTGATTGAAGATTTCACCCCGAGCATTCCACATTGCAAGAGTTATGTCGATGCTATCACAAAAATCTTGACTAGAAAATGGCAATAAAAATGATTATCGAATATGAAAAAATAAAATAGAAAAAATCTAATCGAAATTCTAAAAGGAATTCTATTCTAAAATATTCTATTATAAAATATTCTATTATTTTTATTGTCAATTGAGAGGAAAATTAAACTAGAAGAAAAACTAAAATAATAAAAAAGAAGAATTAGAAGAGTTAGGGGGGTATGAAGTCTAAAAATATGGGTGCTGAAGTAATTAGCCCAAAAAGATTTTCAACATTTTCTTTATTATTTACTTAATTATTATTATTATTTGTTTGAAATAAAAGAATAAAATAATAAAACAGTTAAAATTAAAAAGAAAAAGAAAAGCATGAAAATTGGAAAGGGAATAGGGTTTTTAGGAAGAAAGTCTCTTCTTCTCCGTGTGCAAAACGGTAGCGGCGCCGCCGGCCTTCCTTGCATTTTCTTCTTCATCCGTCAACGGTGCTCCGATCAGTTTCCGACCCCCTGTTCATCATCTCTACCTCGCTTCCATTTCTTCCTCCGAAGCCGCTCACCATCGTCACTTCCTCGCCTGTGTTGCTCCGTCTCTTCTTCGCCTTCATCAACGGTGCCCGATCCTTGCGTTGCTCCGATTCCATCCGCCGCGGCTGTCATCATTTCTTCATCTTCCTTCATATTCGTCTGATACCCTTTGAAAGGTAAACCCCTTTTGATTCTTCCTAGAATAACTCGCAGCACCAAGCTTTTCATCCGAATGTGCAAGTCCATCAGCATTTGTAGAATTTGATCTTGTGTGACTTAACTTCTTGGTCTCCAAAGTGTCATCGCACAGATTAGGTTGCTGAGCAGATGAACTTGTATTTCCAGTAATGCCTACATGCTGGAGGCCATGTGCCTTCAGGTCACCAATATTATTCAAGTCTGCATCTTGATCAGAATTCTTCTTATTTCTTGTAGTTGAAGGATCTTGGACTGATAATTGTGGCTGTGGTGGTAAGTTTAGCGGCTGCTGTGGCGGAGAATGTGACGATGGAGGTATGTTGGTCGGTGGTTGCCAAGGAGAGTTAGACTGTGGAGGGTAGTTGGGTGGAGGTTTGCAAAAGTAGGAGAAGGTTGCAATGAATGGTTGAAGATGAGAGAGTATCGATGATACGTGTTGAAGAACAAGAAAATGAGTGAAGCTATAAGAAGAAGATGCGATTGTTGCAGGTTGATGAAACTGTTAAGAGTAGAAGATGATTGAAGGTGTGGATTGTTGAAGATGATTGCAAAATATGCAGAGGAGTTCAGAGAGAGTTATGATATTTTTTGGAGTTTGTGAATTCTGAATCGCGGATCTGCAGAGAGAAGATTGAGAAGTTTCTTTTTTGATATTTTTTGTGGTGATTCTTCTAACCGATGAAGAATGATTGTAAAGGTGAGTTTTTTGCAGTTCTTCTCTAACTTTCTATGAATAATGGTATCCCTGTGAATAATCTTTCCCTATTCTGTCCATTTATGCATATGCTGTGTACTCTATTTATATATGCTGGAAGTTTGTTATGGTTGGTTATTGATCAAAGGTGATGGTGAAAGTTGGTTAGAGGTTGGTTAAGTTAGTTAGGATTTGGGAAGTGGGAAGTTAGGGAATTGGTTATATATTATGTTTGTTATGTGCAGGGCTGTTTTGGAATTGATAATAATTGTATCTTTTTGTTGTGTAAATGTTCAGGATTGCTTTGGAAAAAAAGGCATAGACCATGGCAAGTTACAATACGCTGGTTTGGTCATGAAGAAGGTAATGAAGATGGAAGCAACAAGGTCGCATTTCAAACACGACGAGGCCACACAAAAAGCGATGATGAGAATCAATATATGCACTTTAATTGTATTTCTTGTTTTTTGTAGTATTTTTGGATATTGTAAATGGTGTTGGGTATTTGGTTATGATATGGTTTTGGTAAAAATGTATAGATGTTATGTATAATTATAATGGAATTTGGACTTGTATGTATTTGAATAATTGTAATGTATGCCGACTTTATTTCCACATAATGAAATGGCCTTTGTATGAATTCAAATAAATGGTATGAATCCCAAAATATTTGCAAGGTACCCAAAAGAGACATGAATCTTGAATGAATCCAAGAGAGGCTATTTGGACAATATTTTGATGGTTGGATGAATTTGATGCATGTTTTTTCATATTTTTGGTTTGAATTCCAAGAAAAGCCACGCGAATATTTAAGAACTTTGATTAAATCCACTTCAAATATTCCAAATCCACTTCAAATATTGATGAATGAATTCTAATCAAACCACAGCTTCAGTGAACCCCTAATTCAATTCAATTTTCCGATCTAAACCAAATTTGCGTGTCAAGCAATAAGCATTTGAAGTAATGATACCTTGATCATAATCAACATCTTGTACCATGTCCCGACTATATGAGCACTAGAACAACGACGTCTTGGACCCCTTCTCAACCTAGGTTTTTTTTCTTTTAATCTTTTTTTTTTAATAAATCATAAAATCAAAAAAATATTAAATAAACTTAGGTTTTTCTTAAATTTTTATTCATTTAATTTATTAATTATTTTAACTTCATTTTATCAATTTAAAATCAACTAAATTTAGGTTTATTTAATTCAAACATTTTCTTAATAAAAAACACAAAAATATTAGAATTAGGTTAATTTTATTTAATATTTATTTCCTTAATTAAATTTAGATTTAGTTTAATTATTTTTCTTAATCAAAAGTAAACAAAAACAACCAAAAAGATTTTCTTGTTTACTTAGAAATTTTTAGGGTTTTAGACGTATTTTTCCCAATTCGCGCGCGTTCAATTTTTCCTTTCTAGTTTTTATTTTTTCATATTTTTATATCTGTTGATGGGATGTAATAGATTAAAATAGGACTTTATCTCTTTCTTTATTCCCCCCCCCCCCCATTTGAACATGTAAATACCCCCTCCCCAAAGCGTTGTAATAGCGTAGGATTTAAATCCCCGCACTTTAAATTTTTGCAAAATATTAACTATTAGTAATTAGGCTTGTATGGAAAGACTAATAACAAAATACTAACAAACCTAATAACAAGAGATAAATGAACTGAATTGAATCATTGCACACATGCACCTCTAGGGTACCCCATTTTGGTCGCCTTCGGAAATAAAACAGTCATGTCCCTCGAAACGGGGACGCTTTAGCAAAGACTCGTAAATTAAAAATATCATAGTCCCTCGATGACCCTGCAGTTGCCTTTCAGTAAATGATCTATTCCCTAGGAAAAATTGCTAAAGCGTCTTCATATGTTGCCTTATGACTGTACGTCCCTTCGATTGTCCCTCAACATCCAACGATAGGGCTACCTACTCATAATAGTAGGATAGCACTGTCTAAAGGATATAAGGAAAAGAATGAACTTTTTCGAGTATAAGTAGATAGTTCTTAGATGTTATGCTCAAAACAAACTTTTTACACTTACACCTTGCAAAAACAAATTTCAAAAACATTTTCTTTGTCAATACTCTCTTGAGAACTGATACAAGCGTTATCACAAAGCGAATCTCCGCACTAAGGCATTTTAAAACATTTTTCAAAACACACAAAGCACAAGGTATTTTTAAAATGAGTTAAGCATCTAAGAGTCCATATAAAGCTACTAATGGAAAGGGTGCTAACACCTTCCCTTTCCATAATCTACTCCCCTTACTCAGAAAATTCTCGAAAAGGGATTTTTCTGTTCTTTTCACCCTTTCCTTAATTTGGATAAAAGAAAAGTCGATGGTGACTCTTTCTTACCGCAAAATTTGCGAACACAAACATAAAACCAGTATAACAGTCGGTTCTACCACCGTATTACAGAACTGGCGACTCTGTTGGGGATTCCCTATAAAGTGGGGTTACCTTAGAGCTTAGGTCATGTTTAACTTGGTTTCCTTGTATGATTTGCTTGCCTTATTTTTAAAGGGTTGCTTGGGTTATTATTAAAGATCCTACACCTAGATCTGGGGCACCTTATTAGGTAAGTAGCAATAAATCATGGAGGTTGTACGGCGTAGACCGATATGGACGAAGTGATATCTACGTTAGCGTGATACTCTAGTTTGTACTAATGTTCCTTGAGTCAGTCAAGGATAACATTAGGATTCCTTAGTGTCATTAAGCGCTAACTGACCTTTAGAACCTTTAATTAACTCATCCTAAGCCATTATAAAGTAGTGAGATGGCTGACTTTGGTTCCGACTGAAGATTGGTTGATACTTGATACTACACTCATTTAGACTAGACTTTTGGGATATTTTGGCCACAATACTTCGGTGCTTGAGCTAGAAGAATTCCTAAATGAAATTTCAGTGATATGAGACTCCTTAGAACCCGGTTACTATTAATAGGACATGTTGAGCCAACTGAAAATTCAATAGGGTACTTACCTTTAAAACTCATGCAAGCCTTTAAACCTAAGGTATTTATGTGACTTGTTTGTGTTTGACATATCTATGATTTTTAAAATGTAATCATAACATCATAAAAATTATAACATGACATGTGCACTAACCATTTCAAGGGCATGTGGATTTATCTCTTCTCTGTTTTATAGGTCATGGATTCAGCTCGCAGAAAGACCATCCGAATCAATTTTGTAGAGATTCCTCCAAAACTCAAAGAAATGGTTTCAAAAGTTCCTGAGAGTTCATCATTCAACAAGAGATATGTTTACTTGCTCAGTTTGGTTACTACTGGTTTTGACGAGGGTTTGATGAGTGTCTTATTCCAGTTCTTCGACCCTAAGCACCATTGATTCACATTTCCAAACTATCAGTTGGTGCCTACGCTGGAAGAATTCTCCAAAATACTCAGTTTGCCTATATTGGAGAAAATACCCTTTACCGGTTTAGAACAAGATCCAACTACTGAAGATGTTGCCATAGCTTTGCACTTGAAGCCATCTGATATTGAGTCCAATTGGGAAAGAAGGAGTGGACTTAAGGGCCTCCTCACAAGTTTTCTGATGAAGAAAGCCCAGGTATTCCTAGATGCTAAGAGTTACCATGCCTTTGAAGATGTTTTAGCTCTTTTGATCTACAGGTTGGTTCTGCTCCCCAGTTCAGACTAGTTTGTAGATGTCATCTCCATCAACATCTTCCTTGCTCATAATCCAGAGCCTAGATTGCTTGGGGATATTCTACATTCACTCCATACCCGTACCATGAAGAAGTGAGGGACTCTTATGTCTTGCATACCTCTACTCTATAGGTGGTTTATTTTGCACCTCCCTCGGTCAGTAATGAAGAATGAATTAGGTTTAAGATGGAACCAAAGATTAATGTCTCTTTCTCACTCTGACATCTATTGGTGCCCTCGCTCCCAAGAAGACATCTCTTTTATTGATCACTGCAGAGAATTTCCCAATGTGCCACTCCTTGGCATTAAAGGAGGCATCACCTACAACCCCTCTTTAGCTTTACGTCAGTTTGATTACGCCCGGAGGGATGGTCCTCATTATATGCTCATTTAAGGTATTGTGTTCGACTATTCAAATGATCGGCAAGGTTATTATCAAAGGTTCATCCATGCTTGGGGAATGGCTAAGAAGATTGATAGCAGGACTCTAGGGCACAAGAACTCCATCCCTTTAGAGCCATACCTCAAATGGGTGCGAGCACGTGCTCAAAATCTTAAGATGTTGTATGCTGCTATCCTACTAGTGATTTCAGAGCCTACTGTTCAAGGGTTCGAGTCTCGCATCATTCTGCATCCTGATATGCCAACAAACTTCGAAGAATTTCAAAAATCTTGGATATAGCTTAAAGAAGAATGAGATACATTTGAGTCCCAATTCTATGCCAGTGAGAAAAAGGTGTTGGAACTGATAAAGCAGCTTCACGGAGAGCAGAATCTCAATGCCTGCATTAGCCCCAAAAGGAAGCGTCCTTGGGAGACTTAGGATATTTAGAAGTTTCTTATTTGTTATTCCTTTGTAAACTTTAATTTCATTTTAACTTACTAATAAAAAGTCTTTGTTTCTATTTTGGTTAAAAGAGTTTGAATCCTATAAGGCCCTTGAAAACATTGCATTAGCATATCACACATATCATCGCATAAGCAGGTTGTCAAAACAGGTTTCTTATTCTTTTCGTTGTTTATTTCAGCAAAAGAAATGGCTCTCGAACAAACAGTGAACTCCAAGCTCAGAACGCTCAATTTCAGCAAATGTTCCCGGCTCTGGCCCAGGGACAAGAAGATCTGAAAGCGCTTATCATTAAAGAGAAGACTAAGAAGCCAAAGAAACCAACTGGTGTATTGAATATGGGAAGAAGGATCAGAGGACTGGTTAAGCGAGCTATAGATTTTGCGACCCCATCAAATGAGGGGGACAATCATGAAGAGAAGCCAGTGGAAGAAAACAATAATCCAGTGTCTAAGGAAGATAAACCTGATTATTCTGAGGAGCAGTGTCCTCCTGCTGATGATAAATACAAATTCTTGGAGGATCGGCTCAATGCTATGGAGATCTAGAGGATACTCGAGCTGGATTTTGAGGAGCTAGGACTGATTTCAGGGGTGGTCATCCCACAAAAATTCAAGATCCCTACATTTGCTAAGTACGACGGTGTCTCCTGTCCGAAGCTTCATTTAAGGTCGTATGTCAGGAAGATTCAACCCCACACTACTGACAGGAATCTGTGGGTCCATTTCTTCAAGGAAATTTTGTCGGGGACTCGGCTAGAATGGTTCTATCAACTAGAGAAAACCAACATTTGCAATCGGGAAGTTTTGGATGTTGCTTTCTACAAGTAGTATCAATATAATGTTGACCTCG